TAAAGGTTTGAGGCTGTTTTTTAATTATATTTATTCTCATGTGGCTCACCACCAGGAGAGTCTATACCATAAACAAGAGAGTATAGTATAATACAATAATATTTAATATTATATAGTGACTGTGGATTGATCTGAATACTACTCTATTTAACAATTGTCATATCTGCAACATTCGTGTACAGCAGTTTTCCCATTTCTTTTTTTACTCAGTGGATTAACAAGTCATTCCCTCTTTTTTCATGTCTTAGCTTGTGTAAAACCATGAAATGATGCAGCACTGCCACTATCCTATTTTTGAATCAATGGCCAATTTTATTTGTAATATGACTATTTTCAACGATTGACAGCTTCTTGTCCCAACATTCATGTTGAGCTTAGAAAACATGTGTGCATTGTATAAACTTGTTTATTTAACACATGTAGAAATTTGTCTCCATTTTCTCATGAACGGAGGTAACAAAATAAAGTAATCAGAACTGGTTTAAATGCTTGTTTTTATTACCAGTTCAGATAAGCAAATGGCAGCTGGGAATATGACAAATCTGAAGAGGCACATGGTGAGCATTTTGTCTTGTAAGCTCATTTTGAGGACATTAATACAGGTCACACCACATGGGTTAGAACAACCTTTTAACACTCCTCAATTCCTCTTGAAAAATACAATGAGGTTTTTGAAACATAAAACAGGGGACACAGGGAGGAAACACATGAGAGTGAGTGCCTCATGCTGATCTAAGAATTGTCTGTGTGTCCACCTAGAGTCAACTTCCCTATAATTAATTTATAAATCCAGTAATATTAAATGAAGACCAAAAACAATACCTTGAATCACCATCCTGATCTTCAAGACCATCCCCGGTTGTGTTCAGTACATATGGACTTCGTTGTTTAGCTTGTGGACAGAAATAATAGTATTAGTTCACTTGATTATTGATGCCAACTAGTAAAAATACACTGATTTGAGATGTAGCCCCATTAAAAGCCAACAAGATGTTAAAACAACACTCTGAATATCAAACATGTATTAGAGAAGTGTTGTGTTACTGTATCAAGCCATAGTTTGTTGTTGTTATGGGTATTTTTCTCTTAGTAAGGGTCTACTTGTGAGTGACATGTCATTTTTGATTTATTTTTTTGCCATTTTAGACACATGCCAATATACCCCACAGTATATTGGCATGGAAGCTCACATATGAAGGTTATACAGAAGTAATACGTCAGAAATACTGTAAGTGTGTATTCAGTTAGTGCGACTGTCTCTACAGCTGGGTTTCACTGGGTGTGGACAAAAAGCATACGAAAACTATATGTGAAGTAGCCCAATCACAGTTACATCCAGTACATTTACATATATCATACTAAGCTCAAACAGTCACAATGACAAAAGGAATGCAAAAAAACCAAACAGGAAAACTTTCTTTTTCAGAAAGAGGAACAGTGGACAACTGTGGCCTTAGCATTGTAGGGGAACCATATATTGCTAGGCTGCTGTATTTGACTGCATTACATTGGGGGGTGTTCGTAATTTTATCCAGCTGTGTATGTGTAATTGCGAGAAAGTGAGACCTCAGGGCACGAGTTTCCCTTGAGTAAAGATCAACAAACATCAGTGCTGTACTGTGATTCGCTGGTGAATGCTAACTGGATGCTACGCCTACCTGTAAGAGATGACGGACATTCAGCCACTCTTTGGAAAGGGTATCGAAAAAGTAGTTTGTGTCCTCGGCTGCCAGAGCTAACCAGTATGACGCTAATAGGGCTTGTTTTGTCTCCAGTTTTGTACACGCTATTTTGTGACTGGCTGTACATGGATTTTCGGTCACCTTGTAACCCGGCTACTGGGTTGAACATCATGTTAGCATCCTAGCTAACGTTACGTTAGCTGCCCCGTGAGCTGTAGCTAGGACCAAACAGCGTAAGTTACGTTAGCTTGTTGCGGGCGAAGCTCGTATTAATGTATGCCATACACACATACCACCGACCCTGGACCAATTACAGGCTAACTTGTTTTAATGTGGAGGTTTGGCGATTAATTAAGTACTCCCAACCTCACATCCGTGTACTGTTGCGATTGTTTTGTGTCACTTCAAAAAATGTTCGGCAGGAACAGGGACCGTGGCTAAAAGACTCCGCTTGCTTCAGCAGATCGGAGCTTTCTATGGAAGCCCAGTTCCGCCAGGGAAAAAAAAAAAAGACAGATAAAACTTAGCCTTGATAATAAAAATATCCTCAAAGTAAGTCTAAATTATGAGATATAAAGTCATAATTATGAGATTTTAAAAAAAAATCGAAATTATGAGATAAGAAGTGCGCATGCGCTTCAATGGCAGTTGGCAATATATTCACAGATTCGCACTTCCCTCATCAATAACTCATAATCGGGGCATTTTTAAAACACAGCGGATGCTTCTTTCCAACCGTAGTAAAGCACACAACGAGCAACAACTTGAAAATTGTTGACGGTCCCTGCGCACTCCTTACATAGAGATCAATGTTATTAGAGCAGCGCATAGGGACGGCTTGTTTTGATGAAAATGAGGTTGTAGCTTTGTGTGTTGTGTGCTTTACTACGGTTGGAAAGAAGCATCCGCTGTGTTTTAAAAATGTCCCGATTATGAGTTATTGATGCGGGAAGTGCGAATCTGTGAATATATTGCTGACTGCCATTGGCACATGCGCACTTCTTATCTCATAATTATGACTTTTTATCTCATAATTTCAACTTACTTTGAGGATATTTTTATTATCAAGGCTAAGTTTTATCTGTCTTTTTTTTCCTGGCAGAAATGGGCTTCTATAGCTTTCCTACCACTGACAGTATATGTTTCCTACCAGTTATAATTCTACAAGGGCCTTACCAAGTTATAGACTTTGGATGAGTCCAAATGAGAGCACTCCACCAGAAAAAGCTACAACGATAAATTAAAATGCGCACATATAGAACATTTTGATGACTACACTGACATTTGTTTTGATGTTCTGTTGTTCTGTTATTTATTAGGGATTAACGCTGTTGGCAGATGAGCAGCTCTAGTCCTGTCCCAAATACTATAATGTTTTGTCTTTTCCCTGATGGTTTGAATAAGCTGCTTAACGTTTTGCTGGTGGGTTTTAAGAAATAAAGTATTTAAAGAGGATCTAAAAAGTTGGCCACACTGAACCAACGCACTGAATTTGGGCGACACCAAGAATAAAGTTGGGAGGGGGAGTCACACTTATGTTTTCTTTAACAAATGGACATAAATTGTAAATAAATAGGAAATAATAAGAGGCAAATCCGTTGACAGCGCTCACATATTTAACATATTTTCTACTGTATATTGCTGAGGACAGACTGGACACATTCCCCTCAAATAATGCATGGTTACGCCCTACTCTATCTAGATTAATCTATTTTATGAATGTAATTATACAACCATTGCTGCAACAATGTATCACAGCTTTTCTTAAAGGTGCTATATGAATTAAGTTATTGTTATTAAAAAGTAACGTGTAACTTACATAAGAGAGAGATCTAATAAAGCGTCATGTAACGTAGGCTACACAAATAATATACAAATATCCAACAGGTTAAAAAGATGATTCTAAGTATGATTAAATCTAACAAATTACAAATTACTATTGTTATTCACACACTTTACCATTAGTGTATTTCACAGTTTTGCAATCAAATGGATCTTCAGTTCAAATGTGCTCTTTTTATTTCTGTTTAAAATTACCTAAAAGATAATTTCAGCATTCTGACAAATACTATATATGTTACATTATATCCCCTAGGGATTAGCATTTAGCTGATTGTGGAAGCATACTGTATAATTTATGCATAGGTTGTTGTTTTTAATATATATATTTTATTACATAAATAAAACTAATCAGGACTATCGACTTTAATATAATTGTAAATGTCAATAATAGTCTAATAGTGGAATTCATGCTTAGTCAGTACACTTGTGTGCACACTGCTGGAATTAAAATATTGTAAATTAAAATAAGCCTATACCCGTATATACTTGTTTTTGTTTTCTTTTTGTGTTATTGTTTTTTTAGTCTCTTTCTTGAGGGGAGTGGTGTTGATGTGTGCTTTAAAACATTTAGGCCCAAATGCACATGGTGAACCTATTAAATTGCTTAAATATTTTAAATTTGAAATAAAAAGCCCATCCAGCGATGTTTTAATAAACTGTTCAGTCATAAGTTGGCAGCACTGCCACAATTTCTCGCCTGCATGATACAGTATTTTGGTGCACTGTTATCATTAATTTCAGGTGACCACACCCATTTATATCAAACTGCACATTTTAAAGAAGCCAAAATAACCGACAGAAGTATTTTCCTTCTTAAAGATGAGTCATAGCAAATAATTTCATTTACCACTGAACCACTCAATTATGTGTGTCTTCTAAAACCTAAACCCTAACTTGAGAATGTAAAATCACAATATCGAGTAATTAGTATAATTACTATAACAAGAAGTATTATGATCCAAGGCTGCGAAGGCTGTCTTTACAAGAAACCCCAATATCTCTCTCTCTCTCTCTCTCTCTCTCCCTCTCTCTCTCTCTCTCTCTCTAAATATATGTGTTTGTGCATATATAATTCTATTTTATTAATTTTTTTACCTGGTATCAGAGCCCTATATTTGTTATGGCAGACTCGTAAATTGTTAAAATTGAGATGATAGGGATGATTTAGTCTCAAAATAACTGATTATGATGTGGGAATTTAAAAGGCAGATCAAAAGCACTTTGTTCACAATGTGTTCAAAGAATTATACACAAAAAACCCAAGTTGCAGACTTTGTAATTACAGAGACCAGATTACGCGGGGATCAATGTGTCTCACCATTGTATTTTTTTAAAAATAGTTTTTAATGTATGTAAATCCCTAGTGTAAACCGGTTGTGAGCTGAAGCTACGAACATCTAAGGAGAAGAAAATGAATGGCTAAAAAATAAAAACAAAAGAAAGTTTTACAGACAATCACACACAAACAGAGACGTATTTGATTTAAATTTTATTTGGTGCTTTTGGCAACAGCTTCAGCGCAGTGCATGAGACATTTTTAAACGCCTGTAGAACTGCTGCACATTTTCTGAATGTGAACTTTCACTCCGGATCCTCAGTGGTACTGTCTGCTCAGGGCAGAGACGACCACATCCAGGAACTTCTGCCAGGCCTCTTGGACATCAGGGGTGAACTGACGTCCAAACTTGGCAGCCACACACACGCTGATGATTTGAGCAAAGATCTAAAATGAGAAGAATAGGATACAGAGATCAGTGATAGTCTAGTAGAATAAACTGTGAAGTCATTAGAAGTTGGGTGTTGATGGTTACATACCCTGAAGTTATCAGGATCCACATGGATTTTCTCAGAGTGCTTCACGCTCAGCTTGGTATAGACGTTCTTGATGTCGTCCATGTTCTTCACAGCTCTGTCCAGCCCACCCATCACTGTCTTACCGTGCTCGGCCACCAAAGGGTTTCCGAGGATGGCGGCATTGGTGGAGAGGTTGCCGAATGTTGCGAAGTGTCTCTGAGTCCACGGATACACGATCAGAAGTCTGAAATAACACGATCCATGATAAAGAAAAAAGTCAAACTACAACACCAACAGACTGTTGAAAGTCTAGTAGTAATAACATCTAGTAATGTTAACGTGTAAAAAATAAAAAAACTATGAATAAGATTATACAGGTCACCTGGTCAAAGCCTGGGGTCCAATTTCATTCACATCGATCTTTTCCCACCAGCTTGTGATGGCGGCACGCTCTGCATCTGTCCACTTGACCATGTTGACGACGTTAAGGTTCTCACGTTTCTTTCAAACAGAAAATCTGAGCACAAACCTTTTGCAAACACCAGTCCTCTGGAGGTTTTTATTAATTACTCAATGCCACACCTCTCAGCCATGGAAGCGTCTGATTGGACTAGAGACGAGAGCTTAGCTTGTTACCTATAATGAGTTAGATGGGACGTTTTCCAGTACTGAAAAAAAAACTGATAAGAATAAATGTGGCCAAATTTGATATTACATACAGTTTTGTATTCATTCCTTAAATGTTCATTAATTCATAGGTTGCAAGGTTGCAAAATCTTCTAACTTCTCTACCTATCACAGTAAAACCAGTTAAGTTTATTTAACTAAAAAACTTTTTTTAACTGTTTACATAATGTTTTTAAGTAAATCTAACTACATTTTTAAGTTAGAAAACATCCTTGATCAAGTAGCTTTGCTAATTAAGTGACACTGACTTAATTTTGTAATTTTTATTCGAAAACAAAATACCTAGTACCTTAAAAGTACTTAATCAAGAATGTTTTTAACTTGCAAAATTGAGTTTGTGTTACTTAAAATTTTCAATGAAATGCGTTTCAACATTTTTTCTGAATTTAAAATAACTTATTGTATTAAAGTGTATTGCAGAATTGTAAAAAAGTATATGGTTTGTCCTGTCTTTTGCTGATCTTTCATTCCATTGCAATAGTAGTATTTTATGTTACACTGTGTTTATGGGCTACAAAAGGATGGAAAACTAAACATCTTATGAAAAAAACACTTTAATGTTAATGTTGTAACACTGTCCTTTCCTTTTAGGTCATAGGTTTTTTTTTCATTTTGTCACATTTGGTCACAGAGTTTGTACTTTGCCACTGTTTTCATGATAAATGTATTGAATTTTGTAGTTGTTTTTATTTGGTTTTAGATTTTATGTTTGTTTAAGTTGCAGAATTGTCATTAGTGTTATGGTAACGTTGAATCAATTATATCAGAGTTTAAGTGTTATTTCATGAAAATGCATAATTGCATAAATGCACAATTAACCATAACCATTCAATGTCTCTTTCTGCAAATGAAAACCTGTGGAAATTATTTTTATTATTATTCTATTCTTTCTTTATTCTGTCCAAACTGTTGAATAAATGCAACCTTACAAAGTCTTGTCTTTTGTCTTACTGAATGCACATTTCAGCATATGGTTATATCTGCAGACAGATTCAAAACCATTATATTTTAAATTACCTAAAAAAAACTGACTGAAAAATATATACAAGAACAGGGAGTGGTTAGCCTAATTTTATCTCAGACACTGGCTGGGAAACTTTGGCAATTTCTTTGAGGAAGGTGTGGTTTAGATTTGATACTGGGGTGTGGTGCAAATAAGTTTGATATAAAAAAGGTCGTTAACCAGCATGTTCATGCTTGAATATTTTCTTTCACTTGTGAAAACTTGAAGAAAGGGCAGTCATGAGTCTCAACGCAAAAGACAAGTCCGTGGTGAAGGCTATCTGGGCCAAAGTGTCCCCGAAGTCTGCCGAGATTGGAGCTGAGGCTCTGGCCAGGTAAGCGCTTATTTGTTGTTATTTTTTTATATTGTATTTTGTCATAGTTTAAACTATGCGCGCTATTACTTCTTGTCATTGATTCTTCTTTATTTTCTTTGACAGGATGCTGACTGTATACCCGCAGACCAAGACTTACTTTTCCCACTGGTCTGATCTCAGTCCTGAATCCCCTCAAGTGAGAGCCCATGGTGCAACCATCATGGCGGCCGTTGGCGACGCCGTCGGAAAGATGGATGACCTTGCTGGTGGTCTCATCAGCCTCAGCGAGCTGCATGCCTTCAAGCTCAGAGTGGATCCTGCCAACTTCAGGGTAAGTTACTTAATTTATAGTAATACAATTAGGTCATCATTAGCCAAAAAGTCAGATAAAATTTGTTCATGTTCAAATGTGAATTTATGTCATAACTGTTTATCTAACTGTCCATGTGTTTTTTTTCTTTGTTGATGACTTTAATTAATAATGTGTTTCTTGCACAACCGCAGATCCTGGCCCACAACATCATCTTGGTTTTGGCCATGCTCTTCCCCGCAGATTTCACTGCTGAAGTCCATGTCTCCGTTGACAAGTTCCTGCAGAACCTGGCTTTGGCTCTGTCCGAGAGATACCGCTAAACTCCAGCGATCCAGGATTCAGGGGCATCGACTGCATACAATGCGGCATGTCGTCCACAACAACGCCAACATCCCTTTTAACATGGAAGGGCTTGCTGAATAAAACAAATAAAATGTACAGATGTCTCTTCTTTTTTTTAAACATTTTTCAGTACACATACACATTTAGGTAATAATAATAATAATAATAATAATAATAATAATAATGATAATAATGATAATAATAATAATAATATAATTATGATAATAAAACGTATTTAAAATACTGATTTCAAGGTAACCAGTTTTATTGAAGTTATAATGTTTTTCTTCTTATTATTATTGTTATTACAATATTTATTCTAATTAATATTTAGGGATTTTTCCCAGTAACATTATGAACACTTTGTGCTGTCACTAATTCTCACCTCCTCACTTTAGCCAGTCACAGGGCTGCACTCGTCCTGCCTGCTTAGTGCTTATTCACCAAACGTTTCTGTGCAGGGAAATCGTTAAAAACGTCTGCCTGTGCAGAAAAGGAGACATGTGGCATTCATGAATATTAAAAGGTTATAAGAACTTAAGTCGCTTGTTAATCGTTGAAAGTTACAGTGTGGTAATGAAGTAAATGCTTTCAACTGTTTTGTAAGATGATATTGTTCATAAAGAAACAGAAAAATGCCAGTAGGACAGTAAATCGCGGGATGTGGCAGTCGGTGATCAGGGAGCAATCCGTGGTACTGAAGTGAGGCTAGTGCCTGGGACACTGTAGGCCTACCTCACACAGCTCCTCCTACTGTTTCTGTCGTTAAACATACTGTATGTTGTCAGTTGTCTTTGTTGCCTAATCTGGAAATTATTAATTGTAAATGTCAATAATAGTCTAATAGTGGAACTTATTTTTAGTCAGTACACTTGTGTGCACACTGCTGGAATTAAAATACGGTAAAATAATGTAAGCCTATACCGGTATATACTTGTATTACGCTTATTTTTGTTTTGTTTTTGTTTTATTGTTTTTTTATTTTCTTTCTTGAGGGGAGTGTTGTTGATGTGTGACATTTAGGCCCCAATGCACATGGTGAACCTATTAAACTGCTTAAATATTTTAAATTTGAAATAAAAAGCCCATCCAACGATGTTTTAATAAACTGTTCAGTCATAAGTTGGCAGCACTGCCACAATTTCTCGCCTGCATGATACAGTATTTTGGTGCACTGTTATCATTAATTTCAGATGACCACACCCATTTATATCAAACTGCACATTTTAAAGAAGCCAAAATAACCGACAGAAGTAGCTATTTTTCTTCTTAAAGATGAGTCATTGCAAATAATTTCATTTACCACTGAACCACTCAATTATGTGTGTCTTCTAAAACCTAAACCCTAACCCTTGAGAATGTAAAATCACAATATCGAGTAATTAGTATAATTACTATAACAAGAGGTATTATTATCCAAGGCTGTGAAGGCTGTCTTTACAAGAAACTCCAATATTTATCTCTCTCTCTCTCTCTCTCTCTCTCTCTCTCTCTCTCTCTCTCTCTCTCTAAATATATGTGTTTGTGCATATATAATTCTATTTTATTTATTTTTTACCTGGTATCAGAGCCCTATATTTGTTATGGCAGACTCGTAAATTGTTAAAATTGAGATGATAGGGATGATTTAGTCTCAAAATAACTGATTATGATGTGGGAATTTAAAAGGCAGATCAAAAGCACTTTGTTCACAATGTGTTAAAAGAATTATACACAAAAAACCCAAGTTGCAGACTTTGTAATTACAGAGACCAGATTACACGGGGATCAATGTGTCTCACCATTGTATTTTTTTTAAAATAGTTTTTAATGTATGTAAATCCCTAGTGTAAATCGGTTGTGAGCTGAAGCTACGAACATCTAAGGAGAAGAAAATAATGGCTAAAAGATAAAAACAAAAGAAAGTTTTACAGACAATCACACACAAACAGAGACGTATTTGATTTAAATTTTATTTGGTGCTTTTGGCAAAAGCTTCAACGCAGTGCTTGAGACATTTGTAAACGCCTGTAGAACTGCTGCACATTTTCTGAATGTGAACTTTCACTCCGGATCCTCAGTGGTACTGTCTGCTCAGGGCAGAGACGACCACATCCAGGAACTTCTGCCAGGCCTCTTGGACATCAGGGGTGAACTGACGTCCAAACTTGGCAGCCACACACACGCTGATGATTTGAGCAAAGATCTAAAATGAGAAGAATAGAATACAGAGATCAGTGATAGTCTAGTAGAATAAACTGTGAAGTCATTAGAAGTTGGGTGTTGATGGTTACATACCCTGAAGTTATCAGGATCCACATGGATTTTCTCAGAGTGCTTCACGCTCAGCTTGGTATAGACGTTCTTGATGTCGTCCATGTTCTTCACAGCTCTGTCCAGCCCACCCATCACTGTCTTACCGTGCTCGGCCACCAAAGGGTTTCCGAGGATGGCGGCACTGGTGGAGAGGTTGCCGAATGTTGCGAAGTGTCTCTGAGTCCACGGATACACGATCAGAAGTCTGAAATGACACGATCCATGATAAAGAAAAAAGTCAAACTACAACACCAACAGACTGTTGAAAGTCTAGTAGTAATAACATCTAGTAATGTCAACGTGTAAGAAATAAAAAAAAACTATGAATAAGATTATACAGGTCACCTGGTCAAAGCCTGGGGTCCAATTTCATTCACATCGATCTTTCCCCACCAGCTTGTGATGGCGGCACGCTCTGCATCTGTCCACTTGACCATGTTGACGACGTTAAGGTTCTCACGTTTCTTTCAGACAGGAAATATGAGCACAAACCTTTTGCAAACACCAGTCCTCTGGAGGTTTTTATTAATTACTCAATGCCACACCTCTCAGCCATGGAAGCGTCTGATTGGACTAGAGACGAGAGCTTGGCTTGTTACCTATAATGAGTTAGATGGGACGTTTGCCAGTACTGAAAAAAAAGCTGATAAGAATAAATGTGGCCAAATTTGATATTACATTTTTTCCGAATAAAAAGGAAGTTTTGTATCGGTTCCTTAAAAATGTTCATTAATTCATAGGTTGCAAGGTTGCAAAATCTTCTAACTTCTCTACCTATCACATTAAAACCAGTTAAGTTTATTTAACTAAAAAACTTTTTTTAACTGTTTACATAATGTTTTTAAGTAAATCTAACTACATTTTTAAGTTAAAAAACATCCTTGATCAAGTAGCTTTGCTAATTAAGTGACACTGACTTAATTTTGTAATTTTTATTTGAAAACAAAATACCTAGTACCTTAAAAGTACTTAATCAAGAATGTTTTAACTTGCAAAATTGAGTTTGTGTTACTAAAGATTTCCAATGAAATGCGTTTCAACATTTTTTCTGAATTAAAATAACTTTTTGTATTAAAGTGTATTGCAGAATTGTAAAAAAGTATATGGTTTGTCCTGTCTTTTGCTGATCTTTCATTCCATTGCAATAGTAGTATTTTATGTTACACTGTGTTTATGGGCTACAAAAGGATGGAAAACTAAACACCTTGTGAAAAAAACACTTTAATGTTGTAACACTGTCCTTTCCTCTTAGGTCATAGGTTTTTTTTCATTTTGTCACATTTGGTCGCAGAGTTTGTACTTTGCCACTGTTTTCATGATAAATTTATTGAATTTTGTAGTTGTTTTATTTAGTTTTTGATTTTTAAGTTGCAGAATTGTCATTTGTGTTATGGTAATGTTGAATTAATTATATCAGAGTTTAAGAGTTATTTCATGAAAATGCATAATTGCATAAATGCACAATTAACCATAACCATTCAATGTCTCTTTCTGCAAATGAAAACCTGTGGAAATTATTTTTATTATTATTCTATTCTTTCTTTATTCTGTCCAAACTGTTGAATAAATGCAACCTTACAAAGTCTTGTCTTTTGTCTTACTGAATGCACATTTCAGCATATGGTTATATCTGCAGACAAATTCAAAACCATTATATTTTAAATTACCTAAAAACAACTGACTGAAAAATATATACAAGAACAGGGAGTGGTTAGCCTAATTTTATCTCAGACACGGGCTGGGAAACTTTGGCAATTTCTTTGAGGAAGGTGTGGTTTAGATTTGATACTGGGGTGTGGTGCAAATAAGTTTGATATAAAAAAGGCCGTTAACCAGCATGTTCATGCTTGAATATTTTCTTTCCCTTGTGAAAACTTGAAGAAAAGGCAGTCATGAGTCTCAGCGCAAAAGACAAGTCCGTGGTGAAGGCTATCTGGGCCAAAGTGTCCCCGAAGTCCGCCGAGATTGGAGCTGAGGCTCTGGCCAGGTAAGCGCTTATTTGTTGTTATTTTTTTATATTTTATTTTGTCATAGTTTAAACTATGCGCGCTATTACTTCTTGTCATTGATTCTTCTTTATTTTCTTTGACAGGATGCTGACTGTATACCCGCAGACCAAGACTTACTTTTCCCACTGGTCTGATCTCAGTCCTGAATCCCCTAAAGTGAGAGCCCATGGTGCAACCATCATGGCGGCCGTTGGCGACGCTGTCGGAAAGATGGATGACCTTGCTGGTGGTCTCATCAACCTCAGCGAGCTGCATGCCTTCAAGCTCAGAGTGGATCCTGCCAACTTCAGGGTAAGTTACTTAATGTATAGTAATACAATTAGGTCATCATTAGCCAAAAAGTCAGATAAAATTTGTTCATGTTCAAATGTGAATTTATGTCATAACTGTTTATCTAACTGTCCATGTGTTTTTTTTTCTTTGTTGATGACTTTAATTAATAATGTGTTTCTTGCACAACCGCAGATCCTGGCCCACAACATCATCTTGGTTTTGGCCATGCTCTTCCCCGCAGATTTCACTGCTGAAGTCCATGTCTCCGTTGACAAGTTCCTGCAGAACCTGGCTTTGGCTCTGTCCGAGAGATACCGCTAAACTCCAGTGATCCAGGATTCAATTCAAATTTCAATTCAAGTCTAGACCGAACTCCTTATAAACAGGGGCATCGACTGCATACAATGCGGCATGTCGTCCACAACAACGCCAACATCCCTTTTAACATGGAAGGGCTTGCTGAATAAAATGAATAAAATGTACAGATGTCTCTTCTTTTTTTAACATTTTTCGGTACACATACACATTTAGGTAATAATAAAACTCATTATTTAAAATACTGATTTCAAGGTAACCAGTTTTATTCAAGTTATGTTTTTCTTCTTCTTCTTCTTCTTCTTCTTCTTCTTCTTCTTCTTCTTATTATTATTATTATTATCATTATTATTATTACAATATTTATTCTCATTAATCGTTAGGGATTTTTCCCAGTAACATTATGAACACTTTGTGCTGTCACTTAATTCTCACCTCCTCACTTTAGCCAGTCACAGGGCTGCACTCGTCCTGCCTGCTTAGTGCTTATTCACCAAACGTTTCTGTGCAAGGAAATCGTAAGAACTTCTGCCTGTGCAGAAAAGGAGACATGTGGCATTCATGAATATTAAAAGGTTATTCAATTCAATTCAATTTTATTTGTATAGCGCTAATTCATAACAGAAGTTATCTCAGGACACTTTTCAAATAGAGCAGGTCTAGACCGAACTCTTTAAAACATTAATTACAGAGACCCAACAGTTCCACCATGAGCAAGCACTTGGCAAGGAAAAACTGCCTGTTTAAAGGCAGAAACCTAGGACAGATCCTTCGGCTCTAGGTGGGTCCGCGTCTGTCTCGACCAGCTGGGGTGAGGGAGAGAGAGAGAGAGAGAGAGAGAAAGAGAGAGAGAGAGAGAGACAGAGAGAGAGAGAGACCGACAGAGACCGAGAGAGAGACAGAGACAGAGAGAGAGACAGAGAGACAGGCAGACAGACAGGTGCACAGCAACAACAGTATTGGTAAAGGCAATCTAGCAGGACCATGGCAGGAGGCTCCACCAGGATCGATAAGAACCTGCGAGACGAGAAAGCACAAGAACTCCGGGGAAGAAGTGAAGTTAGTAACATGCATTAATGGGACATGAATGAGTGCAGAAAGAGAGAGGAAGAGAGGAGCTCAGTGCACCATGGGAAATCCCAGGATAGTCTAGGCCTATAGTAGCATAACTACGGGATGGTTCAAGACTCACCTGATCCAGCCCTAACCATAAGCTATATCAAAAAGGAACGTCTTAAGCCTACTCTTGAATGTGGAAGGAAGAGAATTTTAAATTCTATTCTAAATTTTACAGGGAGCCAGTGCAGAGAAACTATATATATATATATATATATATATATATATATATATATATATATATATATATATATATATATATTATTTTTTATATTATTATATTATAAGAACTTAAGTCGCTCATTAATCGTTGAAAGTTACAGTGTGGTAATGAAGTAAATGCTTTCAACTGTTTTGTAAGACGATTTTGTTCATAAAGAAACAGAAACATGCCAGTAGGACAGTACATCGCGGGGTGTGGCAGTCGGTGATCAGGGAGCTGTCCGTGGTACTGAAGTGAGGCTAGTGCCTGGGACCCTGTACCTCACACAACTCCTCCTTTTGTTTCTGTCGTTAAACATACTGTATGTTGTCAGTTGTCTTTGTTGCCCAATCTTGAGTATACCTCCCTTCATATGGCTACCTTTGTGTCCACCATTATTTACAGCTTGGCGTAAAATAAGCCACCCTTATAAGCCACCATTCTGTTGCAACAGAAAAATAAAACTTGGGTATACCCCATAAATAATGTAAATCACTACAAGTATATATAATTTTAATGTATGAATGTACATTGCACACAGGTCCTGCGTTTCTTAACATCGAAAATGAGCTGGGAGGGAAAAAATGACGTCAAATGATAATTACCGTCTAAGTCACACCGAAGTATTTTTTTGTTGTGTAAACTGTAGATCGATACATAAATGCATAAGCTAAACTGATCTCAAAGAAGGTCATTTTTCAGTTGTGATTTTACAAACATCATTTATTTTGGTCTGCATTATCCTCACTTTGAACCGGTCTTGCAGAGGTCAGTTTCCCTGACGTGTAGGAGCGCCATCTACTGGATTTATTACCTCAAGTTTGGATATCATTTATTCACATTAGATCCACGTTAGGGGGCGCCTGTGGCTCGCGTTTTTGAGCTCAGGTTGTTGTCTATGAATTGGAGGGTCTATGGTTCGATTTCCGGCTCCCCCAATCCATTAGAAGTGTCCTTGGACTGATTTGACAGAATATACTGAACCCCAAATTGCTTTAGATAGGAAGCTATCGACCCCCTAACCCGATGAGCAGGTTGGCTCCTTGCATGACAGCCTCTGCCAGCAGTGTATGCATGTTTGTGTGAATGGGTGAATGAATGTGACAAGTGTTGTAAAGCACTTTGAGTGGCCAGAAGACCAGAAAAACGTAGGCTACTTAATACTGTCAGATAGTACAAATTGTCATTTTTCAAGCATTTCAAAAAATTCGTAAGAATCTGGCCCCATTTTTAAACAGTATCTCGTTTTAATACTGCCAGCTTAGGTCTTCTTTTTACTGCATGAATTCACACAACCAGCAATATCTATTTCTTCCGCTTCATATACAATCTAAGCAGTGCAGATTTGTCATTTTCTTATCATTTTTGGAAATCCGTAGCTATACATGGCCAACCCACTGCCCTACTCCATCCAATTGCATATTTTGGGAGGAGTGAAAGGGTTCTTTTAAAAGTTGCATCTGGTCATGGCCCACACAGGACTCGTGAAACAAATCTACAGCCGGCAAAATGGTCGAATGGACAGACTTCGAGCGCGCCACCATCCAGGACATCTTCTCCAAGATGGACTATGAGGTCGTGGGACCTGCAGCTCTTTCCAGGTGAAAGATTTTTTCTGTTGTTGTATTTTCTCCTTAACATGAATGCGCAAAAAGAAGTAGCCTGTAACAATTTTGAGTTATACTACATGTTTTTGCATGTTCCCTCAGGTGTCTGGTCGTTTACCCCTGGACTCAGAGGTATTTCGGCAACTTTGGAAACCTCTACAACGCCGCTGCTATCATTGCAAATCCGATGGTTGCAGCTCACGGAAAAGTTGTCCTCCACGGTCTCGACCGGGCTGTGAAGAACATGGACGACATAAAGGGCACATATGCAGAGCTGAGTGTGCTGCACTCCGAGAAACTGCACGTGGATCCTGACAATTTCAGGGTGAGGTTTTGGAGCTGTAACTATTGTTATCCATATTCAACCATTATTCCACATTCCTTTCATGTTAATGTTTTCTGATGCTTGTTGTCTTGCAGCTGCTGGCTGACTGCCTGACCATTGTGGTTGCTGCAAAGCTGGGTAAAGCCTTCACTGGTGATGTCCAGGCAGCTTTTCAGAAGTTCCTGGCCGTGGTGGTGTCCTCCCTGGGAAGGCAGTACCACTAGAGAGAAAGAAGACCATCACATGCTGATCATTTGTGAAAAAACATTATTTTGATCATGTCTCAAGAGCATAAATAAATAAAACAATAAGCATATTCAACAAGTTGCGTGTTCCTCTGCCTGGATTGATGGTCATATTAGGATGCATACAATTGAAATTGTAAAAGTTTTATTCACAATATATATTTACTTATGTTCAGTGGTTGAAGAACTATTTAAATCCATTTAAAGCTTCAATACCAATAATAACATTAAACTAAAAGTCTTTCATTGAAATACGAATAAAATTAAAATACACTGGTATTATCAGCCTAATATTAAAGGTATTCTTTATGCAGAATGACCACTTTAAAAAAGTAAAATTATGACGCATTATAATGCATTATTATTACTACATTATTATAACATTTCCCCTGAAACGTAGTGGGGTAGAAGACAGGCCAACATGTTCAAATAAAGCACAAAAATCTTGCACTGTAAGTCACTGTAAGGGGAGTTAATAGACCAGTGACTGTAACATTATTTAAACTCAGATATTTTAATGTTGTCTTAATGGATATATCTATACATACAATACAGGCCAAAAGTTTGGAAGCAAGATCAAGTTTGTACAAAAAACTTGTAATTTGCAACAAAATAAACATGATTATTATATAAAGAGTCACTAAACAGAATACATTTTAACTATAATTATCCTTCTAAACCTTTAAAATGAGTGAGAGAAGGAGAAAGAGAGAGAGCGAGAGAGAGAGAGAGAGAGAGAGAGAAATTATATTACTGCCACTATATATAGTTATAGATATATATAGAGAAAGAGAATTGCACCTCAGGGCTGTAATATAATTTCAACTTAGATCCGTTGGAGATTTACATTTGTAGGGTGTTGTGTCATACTTCATTCATTTGCATTCATTCTGGTCGATTAAAATAGGGTTTTTATGTTGTTGTACGAATTATTTTGTCTGTTTTGTTTAAAGTAATATTGTTGAACCGTCGTTGACATGCGTTATACCAATTCAAATTCCACTAAAATATGTATGCTGTTGACCTGACTTGACACACTTTTAAACATGCACGATAGAAAATTACTCCACACAAACTGTTTAATTGCATTTGATCTTTTATTGATATTCAGACTGACAGAGTGCATCCAAGCCCATGCTGCTGTGCATCATCTGCTCCTGCTCCTGCAGTTTATCGGTATTTCTCAGACAAGGCACGAGCCAGGGCAGCCAGGAACTTGTCCATAGCCACATGGACCTCAGGGGAGAAGTCTTCGGGGAACATGATGGACAGGACCACAAGGATGTTGTGAGCCAGAATCTGTCAAAAGAGAATAATGACATTTAATCCAATCGCCAGTACCTAAAAAATCGTTAAGTATGTATAGTGTATAAGACTCAATATCAAAAGACCCAGAACCACAAGTGAGATATTGCAAAGAAGGTCAAACAACACCAAACTAACATTCAGTGTGTCACTGATTTTCATCTTCCCCTTTCTTTTCTTTCTCCTCTCACAGCGACGACTGATGTGCACTCAATTTTGAATTTAAACACAGTTAAATGAAAGCTGAGCTGGCTTCACACCAGTTATTATAGTTAAGTATTTTTCATTAGTTTTTATTTATTTTTTTTTTTTTATTTAAGTTTCAGTTAGTTTTCAGTGTTTTATTTTAGTTTTTATTGTTTATGGTTTTTTTTTATATTTTTTGTTTTTGTTTGAATTAATTAAAACGTTTTGTGCATACCTTCTTATGGCAGAGCGAAGGCAATAAAATAACAGCAGTTTGAAAAACACTACCAAGTGTTAATCACCATCACTGACCTTGAAGTTGGCAGGATCCACTCGCAGAGTGAAGGCATGCAGCTCACTGAGGTTCAGGAGACCAGCATTCAGGTCGTCGATTTTGGACACAGCATCTGCAACTCCAGACATCACAGTCTTACCGTGCTTCCTCACTGGGGCAGAGCCGGGGCTCAAGTCCTTCCAGTGGGAGAAGTAAGTCTTGGTCTGCGGGTACACCACCAGCATCCTGGATAATAAATGTGAGTAAGTGAATAAACAATTATAAATTCATAACGAAAACATGCAGTAATTTTAGAAAAAGGTTACAGTTAGTTAGGGGTCATAATTACCTGGACAGAGCATCGGTGCCGATGTCCTCCGCCTTGCCAGACACTTTACCCCAGAAGGCCTTGACTGCGGCCTTGTCCTTAGCAGTGAGACTCATTTTGCCTGTTGATTGTTTGGTTGAAGTTGAACGCTGTGATCAGCCCAAACCGTGGGGGTTTTTATACATAAAACAGAGCAGGGTCACACCCATCCCACCTCCAAGATAGGCTGCGTGGCATTTGGACAGGTTCCAAATGATGTGTTGCAGCTTGCATGAGATAAAGACAAAAAAACAACTCGTGAAAAAAAACACAAGTTAAAAATAAGTAATGTAGCACATGTTTTCACTCTAGTTGTTTTTTCACTCAAGAATTCTTTCAAACTCAAGAATTCAATTCAATTCAGATTGCATACTTTTAATGCAAAACACAAATACCCAATACAGCCATCGAAAATGACGAACTTGAACCCGTCAGAAAAGAAAGATTATAGTTTCCAACTAAATTAACTGGTAATAAGTAATATGGGCTCATGTGCCCGAGCTTAATATCATTCTTGATCAGATTTATCAGATTTGAGCCTAACCAGATAAACGCTTTTTGAGCTTTTTCGCAAAATCTAGGGTGTTGATACGACCCTGAAGTGGCATGCTTCTATAAATAACTTTCAAGTTGGACCAAATCCAACATGACTTGTCCTTACATCGTTAGATTAAATAAATAATCAAATAAATTATTATATTATTTCAGCAATGACATACTAAATTAAAGCTTGTAATCGTTTTATTGTTTACAGCACAATACCAAAATATGATCCAATACACTAAAAGTAAAATAACTGGGTCTAAATGCTCTGATTCAGAGAACAGACATATGTGAGTATGGAAAGTTAAAGCTATAGGCAACGGTGTAAACATCTAAGAGTCCAGGCGTACTGATTTGAAATCTAGGCTCTGCAATTAATTAATATTAATGGATTTAGTTATCGGTTGAACATGAAAAGTGATGTCATTTGGGGTGAAGTTTGCTGCCAACACGCTTATCTGGAGGAGAACTGGAGCCTTCAAAGGGTGGGTCCGCTCAGAGGGGAACAAGATAATATTTTAAAAGTAGCTTTGCTGATTCAGACTGTAACACCACTAACATTTCTCTATTTGGGAGAAGTTGTAGTTAGTGAAAATTCATTCATTTAATTGCACTAGAATGCTGCTTAGATTCACTGGGGCTTGAAGATTATTCCACAAATTAGACTGGATTCAGTTTGTAATACTGTCTTTGATTCTCTATTTTTAATTAAGTGATTTTCTTTTTCTACCTTTTGTGTGAGGACGAAGGGAGCCTGAGAACAATGTATTTCATTACAACTGCTTCACTGGAATTGTTGTGCATATAAAATAAAGAACTTTAAACTTGTCCTGACTCGACCTTTTTTTAGCTTCAGTTCAGCTGTTTTGCTGACTTATGTTCACATAAGGTCACTGGGGCAGAGAATTGAGGGCAGGGGCGTGAAACAATAAGGGTTTATCTGTTCACATCTGGAGACACACTGTCACACAGTCAGAAAACACCAGAGTAGAATGAGCAGATGCTGAGCGTCACTGCAGAGGTCTAATGGACTTCTCACCTTTGCCAGGTAAATACAGAATCTATTCAACCACACTAACACACGACAGCCATAACCTCTTTCAAAATATATCTTCTTGTGTTCTACTTGCAAAACGAGGTTATAATTCTAAATTTCTGTATTTCTTCTAAATGTAGTAATACTTTTTTCATCCAAGTGGCTCATTGAAATTATTCAAACCCTCATTTCAACTTGAGCCTCTCGGAATCACATAAGACCCTGTCGATGACCTCTGGCATGACAGAAAAAAAACACAATTACGAGATGGTTAATAAAAATATCCCCAAAAATATCCCAAAAACTGCATGGAACAGACACATAAAACAAACAAAACTGTTTGACTTTCGTTTGCAATTACATGTCTTCACTGTTTTTTTGACACAACAATTCCCATTCGCCTGGAAACCCTCCAAAATGATATTACCTTTAATCAACTTTAGAAGCGATACTTTCCCTATCCAAGACCTAACCATGCCCAAGCACACATGCAATAACCCTTTAAGCGGCTGTCGAAAAAATAAAGTTTATCCAACAGAAATCCCCTTGTGTTCAGTGGGGTTTCTTCAATACATTTGCTTTGATAAAGAAAATCGGAGTTCTCTGCTAAATGACGTTAGTACTGCTGGCAGTAACCCAGCAACTCCCTGCGCAGTGATTTGGATATTGGCACAATTCCCTAATATAGTTTTGAATGTTTTCTGATGCAGTAAAATGTCTACACCAGTATAGGTTGATATCTGTACATAACACAGAAACAGTTCAGCATAGTCTACACAATGCTGGGGTACCTGCAGACGGATGATAAGTTAAATGGAAACTTCATTGAACTCTCATATGCGTATTCATCTTTGTAATGAGGGGTTTATGCACTGCAACTATATATCAGGACACGTTTCAAATAGAGCAGGTCTAGACCGTACTCCTTATAAAATTATTCACAGAGATCCAACATATACAAGCCACAAAGCATGATTGGATGTTATTTTCTCCAATTTCTGTGTGGAAGCATCTGCATTCACTTTGTTTCTCCACTATTTTATCGAGTTTTTCGTAGGTCTACACTTGTAATTCATGTGAGAAAAATGTGTCTGGCTGTCAACAGAGTTAAACTGAGCCCGTTGGAGCACAACATTGGTCGTACATGGTCGTATGTAATTAAATTGGAGCGCCCTCTGGTGGTCTTTCAATCCATCTCAATCTTTAAATATTGCAAGAAGAGTCATGCTCCTGCACTATATAAGCATAATAATTCAGATATAGGCTGACAAACCACAACAAAGCACATGTGACAGTAACAGCCTGGGTCCTGATCCTAGAGCTGTGAGCACCTGGTAGTGCCTTTGTCAATAGTAACCAATATACCATGGGCACAGGTCAGAATTTTCTCTGAAGTGAGAAAGTGAAAAACTCATAAAACCAATTGATATTCTTTGTGGATGTGTGTGTATATATATATATATTGTGTATGTGTGATTTAAACTTGGTACATATGATCTTACAATAGACATTGGCGATAGTACATTAGGGCAATAATGGCAAAAACAATGATTGTCCCAAAAAAACTGTGAAAGAGTTATCATGTTTCAAGGTATGTGGACCCTAGAAACAAACCAAAGAGGTTTTGCCACCAAGTGGTATTAACTTCAGGCCATGCTCAAGGACTAAAGGCAGCTCTAGCAAGTGAACATATTGAATCATTCAATTCACCCTTGTACTAGTAAAACAAGCTGCCTCCCTGTAAATAGTTTTTCTTACAAATCATTAGCAGCTCAACTTTGTGTCAGCAGTTTCAGCTATCTAATTGTGATGTATGTATTAATTTCCCAAGACAATAAAACTTTATTTTTAGCTCATCTAGTCTCCTGCCTTTTACTGCATCTGCACTTACAGCGTGTTTGTATACAAAAGCACCAACTCTCTGGTGGGGAGGCTAATGGTGTATTTTGGTTAGACCGTTGATTGAGTGGTATAAATCAGATCACTGGTCAATTGTCTCGGGAAATGGATACATTTTCTTCCCACTTTCGCTTCATGTCACCTTTTTAAACAAAGCCATACATATAACTAAATCTGGAGATTAGGGTCATTTGAAAAACTGATGACATAAAAGCTCTTATTTCCTTGATTTACTCTCAACACCTACTGTGACTATTGGGGAGGTTCTCTAAAATGCCTTCATAAGTATACATTTCTTATTACAAAACATAAATGTCCTGTTGTGATATGACCCTCTTGAGGAGAGGACCTCATAATATCCAGTGTCTTTTTAGCACTATAGAGGTAAGGACCTGAGAATGTTTGTTCCCATTCTGTGTCTCATTTAGCAATATGTCATCAATTAATGGACATATGTTAAGTAATGTTTTGTTTTTATGTTTTCCTGGGGTTTTTTTCTCATGTTACTACCACCCTACTGCTACATAATTGGACAGCATAGTCCAGGGAACCCAGCAGAGATGTTATTTGTTGTTACATAATCCATCCACAAATGGGTGTAGATTCTGTGGATAACAAGAAAGAGTGGAACAAAAGGCACTTACGAAAACCCAGATAACTTTATACAGTCTATAAATATATACACATTTTAGTACAGAAAAATAGGCCACTAAAAGTATACCATATCGTACTACTGTCAAGGTGCAATGACTTTCACCAGTGCACCACATACTGACGTTGCAACATTATGCAAACTGGTCATTTAAGCAATTATTCGAGTACTAAAGCATATTTTTAATGGTTTCAGATACCTTGCATAATTAAGCCTGCCAGCAGGTACAGTCTATGTCTGCCACTGAGACAAACACACAGGGTTTAAATATGCAATTTATTTTTTTTCAGCTGGGTCTGTTCGGCTCTTCAGAAGTACTGACTGCTCATAGCGTCGACCACAACGGACAGAAACTTCTGCCAGGTAGCTTGGGCCTGAGGGTTGAGGGCGCTCTTGAGTTTGCAGGCGACGGCAATTGTGATGCAGTCGGCCAACAGCTGTGGACAAAACAAAAAGACACAATGAATCCAGACAGGTTTGACCTTACAGTAGCCTACTGATAAAATATTTCTCCTTTTGATTTTAGGACAAGATTGCCTACTTTGAAGTTGTCCGGGTCCACGCTGAGTTTCTCGTAGTGCAACCGGCTCAGATCAGCATATGTGGCTTTAATGTTGTCCATGTTCTTCACTGCACTATCCAGTGCTTTCAGCACCACCTTGCCATGAGCTGCTACTTTGGCGTTACCCAAAACAGCAGTTGCAGAGAAGATATCTCCAAAAGTACCAAAATACCGCTCAGTCCAGGGGTAAACGATCAACACTCTGTGGATTTTTGTATTGTAAATATATTTGTTATGAGCCCACATCGTAAATGTGAGTCTGAAATATCTTGACTCCACAAAGCAGCAAAAAGAACGAAAGGTTATTACTTTTACAGATCATGTACGACATTTAATACTCAGTGATAGACGTATTACTCTGGTTGAGGCTTAAACACAATTACATTCAGGCCGTGTTGACTTACATGATATAAACTGTTATAAAGGTGGAAATATTTCCAAAAATGGGCTATAT